GAATATATCGTGTTAGATTGCGTAGGAGGGTAACAAAGAAGATAAATAATAGATCTGTTCCTGTAAGAGCATTATTTTTGAGCATTCAGAATTATCGATCATGAATATACCCGTATAAATGTACGAGCCTTTCATTTCTGTGTCTGGTTTCAGTCCCAATAGAGATGGAACAGTGACCAAGTCCGGAAAATTGATATATGAATCTATAAAATCCAAGACCAGACAGTCCTCTTTTCCTTCAGCAAGACGCATCCCACGCCCAATCATTTGCTGAAAAAGTACGGGCGATTTCGTCGGTCGACTCATTATAATACAATCGACATTAGGAATGTCGGTTCCCTCTGTCAGAATCCCTGCATAAATTTAGTATTCGAAATGATCTTGGATTGTTATTCTTTGACCAATTGCAACAGACTCGATACCCTTACCGCAATTAACCAATACCGGGAATTTTCTTGCCCTGAAATCATTTAATTTTTCTGATCGAATATGTTTCTTTGTCTTACTTGTTATGGAGAAGGCATCGACACCACAATCTATGAACATCTTCGTAAGTGCTTCCACATGTTCGATATCTACTCCGAATACGAGAGTCGATTTTCTTTGTTCTAATATTAAATTTTTTTTAAAAAAAAAAAATCGATCAAACCTTTCATCACGAGTGTATGTAGGCCCTTTTATTGTGAATCCCACCTGCCAGTGCGAGGTATGTGCGTGCAATCATTTCATTACGTTGTCGCACATTAACATATTTGGAAAGATCACTTTCTATGAAGTCTTCCTTATTACTTTTAACGTCGGACAAGTCAATATCTGTTTTAATTGTCGTCACTCGAAGATCGCATAGCCTGAGCTATGTTAGTAAATTCTCATAAATAGAAACGAAAAAAGAATGGCACGTTACGCAATCGATCGGCGACGAGATACACACCATTTCTCATTTATCATGTCCAAAAAGTCTTTGTGATAGGTGATTTCATCGAAAATTTCTCCCAACGAAATTCCATCATATCTTCGAACTGTTGCTGAACATCCCCATATAAACATGTGGGTATCTTTGTTGGTTGCACCAAAATGCTCTAGAATTCTACGATAAGTATTCGTCGGTGCATGATGAGCCTATTCACACAATCAATTTGTAAATCATGTTCCAACACTTGTACGATCCAATTTAGCGGGAATTCCGAGAGCTTCACCTCATCGATTATAATAGCTTTGAAATTGGACGGGTCGTATTTTTTTATGCGATTTGATTCCGATCTTCCTAGCGATTGTACGCTCCCAATAATAACATTGGCCGTTCCCATTGCAATTCTTTCTCCTTGATCTATTTCTAGTGTCTATTACACAATCGAAACAATTAATAGCTTATTGTCATTACTTGTTCAAAACAAGCGCAACATACCAAATCTGGAGAGAATTTGCTGATTTGCTTATATGCTTGATCAAGGAGTTCCTCCCTGTGAGCTAGCACGAGAACTTTGTCGGCACCAGGATATGGCGGAGGAATTTTCCGGATCAAATTGGAAAATATGACCTAATAACATTTAAATTTAGAATCCAATCTCATAGTATAACTGTTTATGTTTTTCAATTACCGTTTTTCCGCTTCCTACGCGTAAAAATTGTTGAATCAATAGAAGTCTGAATTATATACTTTACAAACTCTCTTTGTTCATGATAATGTTACAGACAAAACTTACCTACAGGTAACGACACGATCTGACGTTTTACCTTCTCTTCAATAAATTTGCGCAAACAAGTTTCAATGCATTCCTGTTGATACGGACGTAAGGGTGGTTGTGATTGCTGACTCACACTTTCGCCCACAAGATACTTGAGGCCATCAACTGTGTTTTGATTTTTATGAACAAGCTCGCTATAAGTTCTAAGCCCTTTTCCGGAATAAAAATAGCAAAATCGCGCTATGTTCGAATTCAACATTACTAAAGCGGACGAACGTCCCATCGTAGCTGATAAATGTAATTTTTGCACGTGTTAAAAAAAAGATATGATCGTTACAATAAATCCTCTCTACTTTCTAAATGCAGGTTTCACCCCAAGGATTTCTGAATTAATAATACATAATTCTGAAAGTTACAAAAAATATATACTGTATATTATAAACTATATTAAACAAGATATAACTTATTCATTATTAAAGTTTAACTTTTAGATGCAACCCAGGAACTGATATTTTACTTTCTTCATGATTTGAATTATCCTTTAACCATAAAGTTTGTCACTACAGTATAAATTTTATTTAGCAAATTAAAAATCAAAAGTATTTTTTATCTTTAATTATTCACTTTCTTTATATATACACTATATTATCTCTATTTTCCTTAATATTTTCTTTTCAAGTACAATGCTATTATTTTCTTTTGAATTTATTTTATTACTAATAGTCTTGTTTTTTAAAGTATATACTTAAGATTTTT